CCCCCATCCCAAACATACAGATTAACAGCAATCAGTTTTCTAATTTAATTTTGTGGAGATGAAAACTACAGAGAATTCCAGAGTTCTTTTCCCCAAGTGTCCTGGTTTGGGCAATTATAGCACAACTCACAGTTCCTCTGTGCTTGAAACATTTAAGTGGGAATACAGTATAAATAAATCAGAAATATATTTTTATAATATGGTCCAAGTGTTTTAATGTTGTTTTTAGGGGGAAAAAAAAACCCAGGCTCAAGCTAGAGATATTATCATTGTTTGGAACAGATAGAAGAAAGCCCAGCTTTGGGTTCTCGTATCTCAGTTTGAGTCCCAGGAAACCTGAGCATTGCACAAGGGAGTGCAATTTGCAATTCCTACCAGAATGAGCAGCACCACAGGCTTTTCTGACAGGATCAGCAAACAGCACGGGTATGCAGTCAGCACCTGGAGCTGCCAGTGTGACACCCTTCTGATTCGTAACTATTCCATCATAGTTGTCAGGCTCTGTCTTTCCCATAATACACACAGCATTAGCGTGATCAACCTGTCAAAACAAAACCAGAATGTGGACAGTGACATGGCTGCAAAACAACTGAGCTCTGACTAGTACCAGGTTTTTTCTTTGACATGAAATACTCTTCTGCACTAACTGACTAAGTGAGCATGGAAATCAGGTGCTCACTTGTTCAGATGTCATGCAGATGTATCAGTAGAAAGTCACTAAAGATGGTGTATTTTTCCTTTAGGAGAAAATGCTCTGATCATTTATCTGATTATTCTACTTTGTGGTAAGTTAAATATTAGAACAGACTTGGAAGAATCAGTGCTGCTTCTCCATATTGTGCCAAATGGCTGATAGTTTGGATGGCTATTCCCCCAGATAAGATGCCAGCGTAAATGTATTAATTGTCCTGCTTATCACAAGTTCTTGTTGACAAAGATAAGAATAATGCCTACAATTTAGCCAGTGATATATGAAGGAATATCTGAGCCATTTACTTGAATCCATTGTTTTGTACGATACCTTGACTCTGTGAAAAGCCTCGGGGTTAAATCCAGCAGCATTAGCTAGCCGGCGGAGATTTTCTTTAACAACAACTTGTGGATCCCTCCGCTTGGAGCTGCTGAAGAGATTGCAGGAGCTTAGAGTTGGTATATAGGAGATCCCTCCTGTCCTTGTGGTGAACCCATGTAAGAAAATATCATCTGGCAAGGCAAGAAGACACAACAAACAACTGCTTTCAAAACAAGATCAAACCAGCTGTTACATGGGTTTATACTGAAGAGACATGGAATCAGCCAGTCAAGCAGAGAACTGCTTTACCTTGGATTTATCTGTGGCATTTAAGTGTAAGGATTCCTAATTTCCTTCTTGCTCATAATCATGCTGCAGTAGGGACACTGAGACATCAGGCATGTCTGTGGCTGCAGACCAGCAGAAACTCTTATCCTGCCTTTCCAAATTATGATGGTAACTCTCGAAATGTGTAATTCCTACACAGACAGGAGAAGATTTTATGGTCTGCCCTCACTAAACCCAGGACTGTCTTTCCTCGGATCATGCTAGGCCTGAACAGTCTTGTCAGCCTTTTGCTGTATTTCTATTGACACTTCTTCCTCTTATACACATTATACACTATTACAACATCATATAGAGTTATTTGATCCCTGCAGGCATTTCCAAATCTTACCCATTTTGCAACTCCCTTGAAGAAGTATGCTTGGCAAGTTTCTGTTAAAAACTCTGTTAAGAACTATTGTCTGGAACTCTCTTTACCTGGGATCAGGGAAGATCTGAGGATGGTGAGCTCCCCTTTCAGACTTGGCAGGCTTTCCAAGTGCATCTGAATCTCACTGTGGATGAGTGCCACGTCCTGTGAAGGAAGCGTTTGCCCTTCATGCTGATGTTCAGATAGCCGCAGGTTTTCACAGTCAGATACCACCTGTAAATCCTCAAATTCAAACTGGTAGACTGCTGTAAAGAGGTGGTCTATATATACTTTCATTAAGTCTTTTCTTAAGGTAGGCAGAATAACTTTGATGATGCTCAGGTCATTTTCATCCAGTCTCTGTTTGACGGTGTACAAAGCAGCAGCTGTAGTCTGAGCACATACCACCTCCAGTCTCCTCTTCAGACTCTGAAAACCTCTGAGAGCTGAAAGCAAGAACTCTTGCTCACCTTTCCTTTCACTCCCCTGCCTCTGGCAACACATGACATAAACACGTGGGGCATGGATGGCAGAACATTTCTCAATAGCTTCCAGAGTGTTGTGTAGTAATCCTTGGATGTTGTTCTGCAAGTTGGCTGGGAGGCTGAACATATCTATCAGTACTGCTTCCACCATATTCCAGGATATTTAAAGGTTTCTTCAGCTGTCAGGTAGTAACAAAACATGAAAAACAAACAAAAATCAAGAACGGCACTGTTAGTCTGAACACAGAATCATGTTTAGGCATTTAATTGAGGGATACTGTGTAGAGAAGGTACATAGCATTAATTACTGACTTAGGTTTTCCCAGCTGCATCAAAAGAAATTCCAACAAAAGAAAACCATCAGAAATGTATTTATTTAATTATAAAGATAACAAATTATATTTGTTATAATTTTTAATTAATTATTAATGATGTGTTTATTTAAGTGTTTCGGTATATCCCTACCACCCCACCTACCTCAGGTCTTTCCCAGGTCAGGGATGATGAAAGGTTGGTACATAAAATTAGATATATTGAATCAATTAACCCTCATTAGCTTACTGGATCTTCTTGACATGATTAAAGGGCTGTCCTCCAGCTTCCATGATGCAAACAAATACAGAGGTCCCTTAACTTCCTGAGACTAGAGGAGTTTCTGTAACATTTTCTTTGGAGGTGTTTAACATACTTATGGCTGAGGTGGAGCTCACCTCTGCTACCCCTCCTGGTAGTAGGGTACTGAGCTGTGAGGGCAATAACATTTTTTCCCCCAGGCCTTCACAAGACCTTTTGCATTTCTCCCTTTTGCATTTCCAAAAGCATTGACTTGCTAATTTCTGACTTCTGTGTGAAGGGGCACGTGACAATAGTTCTTCTTTTCAGCATGCACAAGAAATCAGTAGTGGTTACTGAAACTTTACCTAGTAATGAAAGAAGTACTTGGAACTAAATTAAAGCAATAGAATACTGTGCACAACTTCCTGACTCAGCTTTTTCACTCTGCTAGCTGCACTCTGCTCTGAAATCAAGATGTGTAAAGCCTATGCAGTATCATCCTTTCATTCACATTTTGTCTTGTGGCCCATGTTGTAATTCCAGTTTTGGTGGTTAGTTTTTTCACTTTTCTGAACTTTGTTGATCCAAGCCTGCCTAGGCCTACCTGTGGAAATTTGTCAATCCATCTTTTCCTCTCTCTGTTGCTATAAGAGCCTATTTTACATATCCTCTCAGAAGCGTCTCACTTTCTTTTCTCTCTCTCTCTCTGATAATCTTTCTGTTTCCAGTGCAGGCATCCACAGGTCTAGAACAAAAGGCTAGATCCCTCTGCTTTGGGAACCTCAAAGATACCTACTTAGATTTCAACTGTGCTTGATCTAGGAGAAATATATGCACCTTTACCAATAGTTCTAAGATCCCATAATAATTCAGAGTATTCTTAAACACCACTTTTTTTTTTTTAAAAAAGCAACAGATTGTGCATAAATATTAATTCACTTGTAGGAAAATTCATATCTTTGCAAGAACAGAGAACCTGAGAATCTTTTAAGTCTTTGAAATCAATGCTCTGCTGCCAGAGCTAAACACACCAAATAACGTCTGGCACAATTTTCCTGCCCCCAGATCTCATTCTCCTGTAACCACATGAATGTTCTGGCTTTACATCACTTCATTATCCTGAAGAAATACTTCTTCAGTGTGTACTTGGCCTATCATTATGGTAGGTGTGATATACTCCTTGGCATTTTATGGCAGTCAGTGGATTTCCAGAGTTTCTCCACTGAAATGAGAGGTCAAAGACCTTTGTGATTTTAAAGGACAGATTATTTAGAGAAGGTTTTACAGAAAACATTCTGTATTTTCTTCATTGTTCTTTCCCCCAGACTGGAAGAAAAATAATCCTGACTGAAAATGATGTTTTCCTTTCTGCGAATTGAACACTTACAAAGTTTAATTAGTGACTATCAAAACAGGTGAGCTGAAAATATCAAAATGTGATAGCAGATAAAAACAACTGCCAAGGAATTTATGACTTTTGATTTTGCTCAGAGTATTATTTATGCACAGCTGATAATTTTAGAGGAAAGAGCTTGCTAAGAAAACAGTGCTGAAACAGACTCATGCCAAAAACCACGACTTGGGAAATCGTAGTGTTTCCTTCCCTACCCTGACACTCTCTGTGGGAGGCCTGTCTGAGTGACATGATCCCAATTTAGATATAGCTAATAGTCCCAGGAAAGACAGTACAACAGAGGGGTGTAGTGCAAAAACAGATTATTGCTCCACTTCAGGTATGTCAGTAGTGGAAGGTAAATAGAGTTCATTGCTATCCTCGCACTTACCCAGAAAAATGCCACCAAGGGAAGGGTGGAAGGAAAGTGTTTGATGAGGGAGAGGTAATTGCCTACGTTGTTATAAAGTTGTCTATGCACTGCAAAAAATCCACAGGGGCAATTACTGGGATGTGCACATATGAACAATGGGGCTGATCCACCCTCGTATCCTTCCAGCTTTGCATCACAGAGTCCTAGTGAGGACAGTGGTGTCAGAATAAATTTGCTTACAACCATAGCAAAACTGATTCCTTTCTAAGTCACTCCAAAAAAAACCCTTCTCAAAACACATGCTTGCCAAGCACAGCAACGTATTAGCTTATGGGAGATGTATTCCTGCTTATTTGGGTTTTAATTAACAAGCTCTAGAGTCCCAGTGTCCCACTGAAGCCACATCCAAAGAAGTAAGTACATTTATTAAGGAGTTGATCATTTTGGTACACAGTTCAAGACAAATACTTGCACAAACTTGAAGCCAAGGGCACCAAGTTAGCTATTTTCTCGCTCCCTGAACTGACAGTACAAACATGTGGAGGGTAAGAGACTTTTTTGCACAGATATCAAGAAAAGTAGATCAAAGAAAACAATCAATAACAATATGAGATGTGAGGAAGGTAACAAGAGCAAAAAGTAGAAAAGCAAAGTGAATACAGAAAAAGAACAAGGAAGGAAATAAAACCAGGCTGCAGAGAAGAGACAGTCCAGTGTAGAAAAGAGATGCAAAAAAAGCAATTTTCAAGAACCCCAGAGATCTAATTCTAAAAGTTCACTGTTGGCCAAGACAAGATTGCTGACAATTTCCTGCATCTTTGAATCCTGCTGGTCATCTTATATTAGTAGAGAAACTGAGAGAACAGACATAATTTTTTGAAAATTAAAATGGCAGGAGATATTTAACATCTGCCAGAGAGAGATGCCCTGAGAAAGAAAACAGGTCATTGAAGAGGCCCAAATGAACAGAGATAACAGCACATGTGTAATATTTCAAAAGAGCAAACAAAAAAAAACAAACAAAAAAAAGAAAATACAAAAACCAGGAGGAAAAAGAAATACATTTAAGCCTCCTAAACTGGATTAAAATAAAACATTCTTCCTCTTTTTAGGCAAGGTTGAAGAAACAGAAATCACCCCATACAATGAAAATACTGAAGCGCACACAGTTTTCATAAACACAGGAGTTTACTTACACAGGTGGACAATCCTATTAAATTCTGAAAGGTACCATCTGAGATAAAATACGCAGACATTTCCAGCTTTATATATCTCACTTCTTTCAATCTGGGAGCTGATTTGTACAAGCTGGAAATTCCTACGCTGTGTAAGGCTGCAGTGGGAACCTGTATTTCTTCTTTTTTGACGGGACCCTGCTTTGCTGCTGGTTACACCGGAAAGAACAAACTGTACCGCAAGGCACCAACATGATTAACAAGTGCCTGGGGAGGGCTGGACGCGGAAGCTGTGTTAACCCTGCTGTGATCACACCTTCTGCTGCACCAGCTTTGCACAACCGCAAACCAACTCCCAGATGCACGGCACAGCCAAGCAGGACAACCCCACAAAGAAGTTAAAGGAAAACTTGTGCAGAGCGAAGGAGTTTCCTTTTCTGAGCTGTAGTTGCATGTTTCACTGAAGAATTTGGCAGCCAGTCACAAAAAAGTATATTCTGGACCTAGACAGAGAGGTTGCACAATGTCAGCTTTTGGGGCCACAGGCCTCAAATGAGGATGGCAATTTCTCCTTGCAGCAGTCGGGAATTTCACACAGCTTAGTGAAAAGGTTGTAATCTTTGACAGGATGACACAAAGGTTAAAAGGTAAGCAAGGAAATGAGGGATTTATATCAGGCTTTGTGCAAGAATCAAATTATAATTAATACGTTTCCTCAGTTGTGTTAAAATCATAGTCATGACTGTTAAATATATGACAATGGAAGAAAGGGGCAAGAAAAAAAGGACAGTAATTTTTAATGGACAGAGGAATTAGTAAAGTCTAATTTCCCATAAATTGCTGTCTCCTGTTCCTCCTTTCCCTGCAACCACAGTAAACCTACATTTCTTCCAGGTCCAAAACACACATGGTGAGTGCTCTGCCATTTTCCCCTCCTGCCATTCCCATCAGCTTGTGCTGGACAGGGGGATGAGAACTGAATCCTGGTTCTCCCTCCAGAAGGGAATTGATGAGGTGACCTTGCCCTTCCTTACCCAGACATCTCTTTTCCAGAAGCTTGCAGAAATCGGTCATCTCTGAGGCTTTCCACCCCACTGCCAAATGTGACCGAGTTAGGTCATTAAAAATTAACAGGAGAAAAACCAATGCAATCATTTTCTTTCCTTCAGCCAGACTAAGGAAGTAAAACTAATTACTGGTGTTATTTTTGGTGCAGAATGCTGAGAAAGAAAAGGTCAGAAAATATTCAGGGTGCAAAACAATATTGAAAAATGACAAACTGACATCTCCGGAATGAAATATTGCATTCAGCTTATGCCACTTCCAAAAGGGGATGAAATAAATAGGTCATATGCAGAGATGAGCAATTAGTTTGTAAAATAGTTGTTACAAAGTTATATATATTTTTTATATTTATTTATGTAAGTTTCTTATTGTTATATATATTATATATAATATGTATTATATAATATATATATTATATAATAAATAATTATATAATATATATAAAATTAAGTTGCTTAACACAACATATGATACTCATATTTTTAACTTAAATATGTTATAAAAATATGAAAAATACGAAAAATACAAAATAGATAAATTTAAAAACTGAATTATGAATATACTGCGAGTTAGGGTTCAAATTCCCAAGAATTTCGTGGAGGGGTAAAAGCTGGCCAGAGGCAAGTCCATGGCTACAGAGAAGGTCACGGCATAGGCCAGAAGAAACTGGGCCACATCTCTTCTCCTTTGTAACACAGTGGTGCTCGGGAAAACTTGATGTTCTGTGCACAGCAGATGATGGCAGCAAGTGCAGTCCAATACACTGAATGGGATAACTCGGGAACCTGGGAGCACAGGGCGCGGAGCAGCCTGGCCTCAAGCACGGGCGAACCGGGAGGCACCACCGCCACGGGTGGTGAAACAGCCACACATTTCCTAAGGGATCCCGCCCGCCGCCTTCCCTCCGCCTCCCGGCGGGATCGGCCCTTCTCCCGGCGGGATCGGCCCTTCTCCCGGCGGGATCGGCCCCTCTCCCGGCGGCATCGGCCCTTCTCCCGGCGGGATCGGCCCCTCTCCCGGCGGGATCGGCCCTTCTCCCGGCTCCCCGTGGCCCTGGGCTCCCGCAGGCCCCGGGCCGGCGCGGCCCTGAGGGCGCTGCAGGGGCCGTGTGGCGGCCGCGGCAGGGCGGGCATTTGGGTGAAGGCGAGAGCACGGCCTCTGGCATTTCAGACACTCTAAGGGTACTTTTAAAAGTTACGGCTGTGCTCGCAAACTGAGGATCTGTTCTGCAGGGAAACCGGAAGAACAGCCGGAGTAGTTAATGAGATTCTGCAAGAAAGTGTTCTAATTCTCAGTGATTAGCTTTGAGTAACCTGTTCTTGCTAATTAAATATGAACCAGATGAAATTAATATATCCATCTGCAATCTCACGGGGCAGCCCTCAATATTGTTTTGTCTACAAGAACTAAATGGAACGGAGATAAAACAATTCATCTCTTTTTTATCCCTCCAGTTCTTCGCTTCTGCCTGAAATGGCCAAGCAAAATTCCCCATCACTAGCTGAGGTTGTGAAGCGAGTTGCAAAGCAGCAGCAGTCACAGGTGTCAGATATAGAAAAAAGCAAAACATTGCTTTTCCAGTTGCAGGTAATGAACCTTGTTTAGAGTAGTTTAATCAATTATTTTTCATTAGATGAAATATTTCCTTGAACAAGAGAAGCTGATGGTACTTATAGGGCGAGTGCATTTAAGTGTAAGGCAGCTATTCTGTTCATGTGTGTGGCATTTAGGCTCAGCCAAAACTCTGGATGTGTATTGTTGTTTGTAAGGCCACAACACAGCTAAGTCTTCATTACAGGAGGTAAAACGTTGGTTTGTTACTTGGAAAAAAATACCTAAAAATACGGAGCTGAGCCCACAGAGCAAATCCACAACAACTAAATGCAAAGTTAGAACCTTTTGAATTTCTTTTTAATCATAATTTCCTAAGAAACTAGGGGGGGGAAGTGGGGTAAGTATGTTAAAACTTTTTTTTCTTTTAGATTTTCACCACAATATATATATTTTTTCCCCCAGTTTTTTTTCTTTTTTTTTTTTTTACTAAATGTTTTTTCCCCCCTTGTGTTTGAAGTGGGTATCCTAAATAGTTATTAAATACTGGTATTATTTAGTACTATATTGTAGAACACTGGATATGCGTAGTTTTTGTGAAGACTCTGTGATAATTTTTCTCTTTTATTAAGCTTTCAATTATTATTTAACCTTCAAGATCAAATTTCTATTGAGAAATTTACTTTTAAGTCTGAGAAAAGATTATTCCAGATGACATTTTTGAGCATGGAAGAATGCAAATGGAAATAGTAGAGTTCCAATTAAAACATCTGTGCATAGCTCTACAACTGAAATAATTGATATTTGAAATTTTGCACAAAGATAACATTTCTGAAGTAGCAGTGAAATTTTGTGGTTTTTAGGAATATCACTAGACTGGCCACAGTCTACAAAGACTCTTTTTACAAAAGATTCTTTTGTCCTGTACCCCATAATGCTGATAATGCTGCAACAATAATTTTTGATCAAACAATTTAAAAATGTATCATTTTTTAAAAAGACCTACAGAACTTTAAAGCCCTAGGTAATTACAAGTCTTTTCCAACCTTGATGATTCTGTGGTTTCTTATGATGGTTTGAAGTACTTCTTCCTGGTTTTGTTCACTTCTCGTCAGTGAGATAATGTAGAGGCCTTTTTAGGGCTAGACACATATTTCTTACAGGGTTGAAAGTAGCTGTGATTAATTCAACTCTCAGCTACTACTGTGATGAAGTCAGGATAAGAAACTTCAGTTGAACAGTCTAGTTAAGCTCCATCACCTGACAAACCCCTCTGTGTTTGTGTGGGTTTGCAAGGGATTTTTGGCATCCTTAGTTATTTTTAGTCTGATTAGGACTTAACCAGCTCTAAGCAAACATTAGAATTAGGTTTGATCTTCCATGTCCTGTATATCTTGCAACTGTGAGGAACTTAAAAGTGAGTTCTAAGGTATCTTATTTAATATTTTAGACTCAATCTAAGGGGAGAAGACTAAGATAGTATTCTTACATTGTGCCTCTAAGATGATGATATTAAGAAATGTAAAAATGTAAGTCTAATTATCTTCCATTCAAACCACATTAGACAAGTGAAATAAAAGACTGTTGAATAAATATAAATTTCAATGTTTAACTAGACATTTCATATCTTCTTCCAAAAGACAAACCTCTTAAATGAACACTGAAATATTTTACAGGCAAAGTATCAGGAACTAGAAAAAGAAATTAATTCTATTCTGTTGGAAACGAAGACAACAGAAAGGGAAATACATCTGCAAAATGATGCCATAGAAGTGACAAAATATCAGTGTGAAAATCTGGAAGCCCAAGTCAGAGCCCTGTATTCTGAAAATTTAAAATTGAGGTGTGATGCAGAAACAGTACAAGAGGAGTTTGAGATGATACTTGCAAGAAATAATGAATATCGGGAAAAAATAAAGGATCATAAACATCTGTTTTGGGAGATGGAAAGTAAATTGCCAGTTATGATTGAACTTGCTAAAAAGAAAGCAGTTGTGGAAGAATTAAAGGCAAAAAAAGAGGAGTTAATATGTGATCTCCAGAGTCCAGAAGGATCTGTTATGAAACAAGTGCAGGTACTATATTTCCTTTTTGATTTTTTCCTTTTATGTGAAATAATTTTGACATAGTTCATATAATATGATTGTTTTGTCTAATAAGTTTATGGTTCATGAGGGATTGACTACAAGAGAATATAGGTAATTCAAAATGCTGCATTAATTGGATAATTTTTTTCTTCAGTATGCAGTGAAAAATATCAGTATTGTTATCTGTGTAATGTAGTAAAAAAAAAAGGTTTGTACTGTGTGATCGAATGAACTCAGATATGAAAATATTGCAGAGCTGTAAATTAAGCTTTATCTTTGGATAAACTTATATGGACGCTTTTCAGAATTCTGTGGAAGACTATCATATTTTTACATTTTTCAGGTGAGAACACAATATTCTTTAAACTTTGTTGTCAACAAAATAAATTTTGGCTGTTTGCCAACAGGAGGTAGATTTGATGAGATGGTGATAGAAATAAGAAGAGAAGAAAAATATGTTTGGCATCCTAATCTAACACTGTTGGATTTACTTGACCCTATTGCAATTTTTATTAATAACAACTACACAGAAATTTTTCACCATGGAATTTTGCCAATATATGGACAAATACAAGTAAGAAGTTGAAATGGGATCACAGATTTCAACTTTGATGTAACTTGCATTATTGAAAATTTGATGGTACTCTATTAATGTAAATTGATGAAAATTTGTACAATAGATCTTTCAATACTGAAGGATTAATTAACATTGTATTTTCCCTTCAGAAAGAAAAATATATCTCAAATATTATATAAAATATTCTTCCATTTTGCAGTTAATTACATTTTAAATAAAGACCACCAAAATGAGCTCAAAGCCCTGTGTTGTAGTATTCATATTTCAGATCAAGAGTATATATTCTTACATGTGTAAAACAATGTGATAAAATATTTAATAGTTATTTTTTAATTACACATCCTAAATTATCATCTTAATTAGTGTTAATAGGTTTATTGTGAAGCTGTTTATTATAGACCTTTATCTCATCTCTATTAACTGAGACTGTTAAAATGAGACCATTTTAATAAGTGTTTTGGATGAACTGTACAATCTTTCAAGGAGTGGATTTCTGTATCTTGACTTACATCTGCAGGAAGAAATCACACTGTTAAAAAGCGAAATCACAACATTGAAAGACTTCATCAACAAAAAAAGAGATCTGCTGGAAGAAGAGAATAAAAAGCATGTTAAGCTTAGAAAAGAAATAGAGGTGAGTCGTTGGAATAAAATTTAATTGCAGTTCTCCTGACAGAATGTGGATAATACAAATGAAGTTTGAAGTACTTTATACACCCTTGCTGGCTATACATTATTCAAGTATATGCAGTAATGATGCCGTCGTAAATTCTGGGTACTGTTAGTCTTTCTAAAATTCAGAGCTTAATTGTGAAGAACATTTCTTTTCTGAAGTCTTTTGAGAAGGAGTTCATCTCTGAACTTCTGGAATGATTCCTGGGAAAAGAAGAGGTCACTGAATGGTGTAAAGAAAATGCACATTTTAAAATTTCTGTAATACTTCTGAAATACTTTACATTTCACTGCTGACTTGATTATTCATGACTTGATAACTCATCAATGGAAGAATCAAATGCACCAGGAAAATGGACTTCCCATGAGTCTCCCTAATTTGAACTGACATTAAATTAGGAATAACACAGCAGCTCCTAATTAGCTGACAAGATAAAATTCTGATCAATAGTTAAAACCTTCTCTTTTAAATAATTTAACTATATTTTTTGTTTTGTTCCTTACTAAAATACCCTGTATGATTAGATAATTTTTAATTTGGAAGTTTCATACCATTTAACTTGTCAGTTCAAATAAATACCACTAAATTTAATGAGCAAAGCTTAATAATATAAAGATTAACTGATCTAAGGTTAGGTCTATTGCCAATTGTAAAATGTAGGAGAAAGAAAGAATAATTTTTTTCATGTGACAGAGAATAGAGAGATTTTTTAACCTGAAATGCAAAATACAGCTGCTTTAGAATAGGTCTGCTTATCAGCATTTGAGAAAATATTTTATTACCAAGGCAACATCCTCCTAAGAAAATTCTCTAAACCAAAAGCTAAATTAGGTAGCCTAAAAATAATGTTCTGTTCTGCTATTGAAATCAATTTAATTAAATAGTTAACCTTTACTTTTGTTCTTCAGTTTTTTGGATTATATGCTCATTTTGTCTCAGAAAGTAACAGGTTCAAACCCAGAGCCTTTCAGGGTATTATTTTCTATTAAGAACTCTCCTGAAAACAGTCCAGTTTTTAATATAAGAACTGACAGTGGATAGACAGAAATATTTATACCAGTAGTCCTCAGCACAATTTGGGGAAGAATACTCAAGCACAGGAATGAGATACTAGGCACATGGATGAGGTTTTACTGAGCTGCAGCTAGGGACTGCTGGCACCTGATGTAATTGTTTGGAGCATCCAAAGGAGGGCAGCTAAGATGGGCCTCGGGGGGAAGCTGTATGAGGAGCATCTGAGGTCACTTGGTCTGTTCAGCCTGGAGGAGAATGAGTAGCGACCTCATTGCAGTTTCAAATTCCTTATGAGGGGAAGAGAAGGGGCAGGCACTGACCAGTGACAGGACCGAGGGAATGGCCTGAAGTTGTGTCAGGTGGGGTTTAGGTTGGACATTAGGAAACGGTTCTCCACCCAGAGGGTGCTTGGGCACTGGAACAAGCTCCTCAGGGAAGTGGTCACAGCACCAAGCCTGACGGAGTTCAGGGAGCATTTGGACAATGCTCTCAGAGACATGGTGTGACACTTGGGGATGTCCTGTCCAGGGCTGGGGGTTGAACTTGATGGTCCTGATAGGTCCCTTCCAGCTCAGCATATTCTGTAATTCTGTGACTCTTAAAGCAGCCTCTTTACTTACTGTCTTACTCTCTTTCCTGAGCACCAGCTCCATCACCCATTTCTTGAAAAGCAGATCCTGTTCCTAGCCTTGGACAGGGTTGTCAGCTAAAAATCAGGGTGGTTATCAGTGTAGGGTCAAGGCTTCAGTTATGAGGATAATTTAAGATATCCACAAATAATAGAAAATTTGTTATGTAAAAGTAATTAAAAAAACCCAAGCCAAAAGACTGTCTGTTTCCCTGCTGCCCTCTTTCCCCAGTGTCAGTGTGTGACTGTATTACTCTTGGCAGATTCTTGCCTATCTTGTCCTTAAATGATCCTGGTGGTGGAGATACCCTGAGTGCCCAGACAATTTTTTCCTAGTGTTTGACTTTCATGTACCCAAGATCCAATAAAAACCACAATGTTGTCCCTTCCCTGTCTCCAGTAAGCATATTAGTGCTCCCTCCCTCAGCAGATGGGACAGACTGTTCCCAATAATGATGCTAGAGACGCATTTCTAAAAAAATGCAGATAATATTGATCATAGATGTTTCAGTGTCATACAACGTAGTCCTAGTGATGCAGATGCCCTAAGCACTCGTTCAGATGAGTGAATCTGACAGCATCTCTCAAAAAGTTGCAATTATAGTGGAGAGTGAAGTAACATGAAGGAAGACAAGCCATGGCCAATAAAAGAAGGCAGTTAATTTATAGAGCACCAGTGAGGCAGTTTCCTAGTTATTTGTGAAATTTAGGCAGCGAGATTTGCAGGAATCACTGACAGTGCTGTGATTCTGATGCAGCTGTACATCATCATGTGCATGTGAAATACAGTGTAATAATGCTTCAATAAGCAGACACAAGAGTAATTATACACTACCACTCATATGCCATTTAAACTAGGGTAAGTAAGCCCAAATTTCATTAAGGGAATGCCCATTATTTCCATTTTTATTGTAGTAAGTGTTTCATTCTTTTAACACTTCAGAATGCAAATTTTCAGAGGATTATCTGCAGCAGCCATTCTTCTCCACATAAGGCAGCAATGAGGGCAGAATTGACAGTCCTGCATTACTACAGTATTGCCTGTCCAAGAAGAATGTGTCATTTTAAATGCAGTGCAGCTACAAAGGTGCTACTATAGCCATGAAGGTTACCTCATTTGTATTCCCATTGGTACCCAAACATGCTTGTCAAAGAATGAATTTCTTCTTTCTCACCTCTCATTTTAGAGCTTCAAATCTCCCACGTGCAAAGCTGTGCCAGAGCTGTGACATGCTAGGTCCTTGGGTGGTATTTACTTTGTTAAATTTTAGACATAACAGAGCAGATATCCAAACAAAATTTCTCACTTAAGGTCTTAGTAGGACATACCTTTTCTTTCCTTACTGGGAAAGTGAGGCATGATTCATGTCCTAAACCAGAACATCTGAAATAAGTCAGATGAATGGCTTCCTAGGTGTTTCTGTCTCCTTGGTAGCTAAAAATAAACATGGAATGACTTGGTCAAATGTCAGAATATATACTTGGACAGAATTAGGTGAGCTGAAATCACCTCTGTAAATAGTTTTACTTGAATGAAATTTTGAAGTGATTTTTTTATTTTTTTTTTTTAGGTACAGAATAAAAGATATGATGCTATTTTAAAACGTTTGCATTGCCAGCTGAACAAAGTCCATTCAAATAAAAGACAATGGCACTGGAACATTCAGCAGCTGGAGAAGAAGGCCGCAGAACTAAGAAAGTGTCTTGGAGTAGCAGAGTTACAAAACATGTAACAAACTTAACAAAGCTAGAATGCACATAATCTTTTACAGGCAGGGGAGTTTTTTCTGGAAATGCTACAAATCTTAAATAGCCTGATAACTGAGTCAGGCCTTAGTGATTTCCTTCTTTTTAAAGTTTTTCTCACTTTCATTTTGTGGCCTAAACTAATAACCACATTAATATAATTAAATAATAATTAAATATAATTAAAATAATAATTGAGCTGTTCAGGAATAAGTGAACTATTCAGAAGGAAAGTTACTGAAACTTCCAGGTGTTTTCAAAATATGTGTCAATTTTATCTAAAAAGTTATTTGAAAGTCAACCAAACAAGATTTTGGGAGTTCCTGTGTATTTCATTTGGTCTCTGAAGGTTGGGATATATACTACTTTTCCTGCAGAAAAGCTAATATTGGTATATATTTGTGCTCTTGAGAGACCAAAGTTTTTTTATCTTTTATCCACATCCCTTTTTATTGCAATTTTCTAAGGAACTCTGAAATCTTTGATGGCCTGGATTTTGCTCTGTGGGAAACTCATCTAGAAAATGTTGCAGTCTGCCAGGATGTTCTGGCATGGGGGACAAAGGGGCCAAAGGCTGTCCAGCTGTAAAAGACCTTGGAACAAGTACACTCAGAACTGGACTTCAAATAGTCTGACTTCAACTGGTCTAATAGATGTGTTCTGGGTTGATTACCCTAAACCAGGACAAGATGTTAGCAAAGAGGAGTGAGTAGGTATGATCTCTGGACAGCTTTTAAAATGGAATAACTCACCCTCAAGAAACAGGAATGTGTTACAGATGGTTGATGATAGAGGAATTTATTGTCTAGAGGATTTTAACTAATATCATCCATCTACCATCTAAGTGATTTATCATCTAAGATGACTCAATGTAAATGACAACATATTAAAAATTCTTGTTAAAATAGTACTGAACAGCAGCTATTTTCCTTTATTTTTTTATTGCTTGGCACTTGAAGAATTTACAGTACTTTCCCTACTCTAACACTTAAAGCAGTAGTTCTGCTTGGACATAACTTGTAATGTTTATCTGTTCTATGGAAGTAGCTTTTTATTTAAGGTCTTGTTTTAAATTACTTAGCTTTACCTTACTCATTAATATAAAATTAAGACTTGACTATTTACTGTGAAAAATATTAAACTGCTTATATATTATTTTACAAAAGCAAAGCTTAAAGTGTAGTAATATTATTACCCTCATATATTCATGTATATTTATACCCTCATATATTCATGTATATTTACATTTCACTTAATATAAAGTTATTTTAAGCAATATCTTGATTCATTAGGGCTCTTTCTCAACATTATTCATCTCTTAAGGCTTTTTTGTTCAGTCTTTTTCCTTTGCAATAATATGAACCAGGCTGCTTTCATTAAAGCAATAAAATAGTACTAGAAACCTCCATATCCTATGCTAGAGTAATATCATGTCCTGAATATTGAGTCTTTTTGAGTATATAGCACAAAACTGTGACATTACAATTGTTTATCCATACACAGAGCAAAATAGCATCCATTTTATGCATGTGTCTTCTAGAAAGGGTCCTGATCTGAAAAGCTGGAGAATTTACTGTGTTATTGTTAGTTTCAGCAATTAACTCTCTTCTTTTATTTTGCACGGTTCCTAGTTTCAGTTTATTCATCCACCAAATGAAAGGAGTATATCAAGTACAATGATATAAGTAAAAATACTGATGTGCTGTCTTCTTGATGAGTTCAATAGTTCAAGCCTTCTAAAGCTATTGATTGTGAGATCTCACCAACAGCTTTAGCTAATGTATCCCCCAGAGTGGTACTACATCCAACATTTTCAGGGTTTTAAGATGATGTATCCTTAAGTATGCCTTTTACCACTGATATTATCTTGTTTTTATTTTTAGTTTATCATTATTTCTGCTCCAGAACAATTAATGCATCAAAATATGTTTTTTGTCTTACTTCAGCTAAGTTCACTTTGACAGCTCTTACCATGGTCTAATATCACAGTTTAGCCTTGCATTTATTACCTGCTAAAAACAACTATAGCAAACAATCCAAACCTTCTAATGGAACAACAATATCACACCTTTGTTTTTCTTTCTGACCAATGAAGATGTTCATTATTACTTCCCTGGGAATTAGGGCGGTTTCTGTGTATCAACACATGTACAGAATGACTCACTCATCTCAAATAAATACCTTGGACTTACATCTTCCTTGTTCCTTTTCATAAATCTCAGTAATTTCCAATATCTCAAATGGCTTCTATGATTCTTTGTACATTTTTTGAAATAGTTTAATATAATTTAACAGAGGTACATACAAGGGCTGTGTATAATATTCCCTTTACTGCTACACGTGGAAGAAATGTTCCTTTCTATACAAAAGCTTTCCTATCATCCATGATCTAAGTTGTCTTACACTCCTGGCTCTGTGCAAGAGAGACAGTATTTTTGCCTACTGGGGAACTTGACCTCTTCATGGGATCTCAGCTACCAAAGGCATATTCCTGCTTTTTCTTCAGTGTAAAACTTCATTTTTCAGTATGCATGCTTGAACTGTAGCTACGTTTTGTGGTTAGAAAGCGGGAAGCTGAGATGTACTTTAATTTCCAAAGCTCCCTCCATTCATATGGGAACACAGCTAAACCATACAACAGCTCCTCTCTGGCCTGCACAGATGAGTTTCTTGGTAAAACCAGGATGTGAATTGGAAGGAATCACAAATGGCCAAGGATCTTTTTCATAGAGACTTCAGCTATTACCAGGGAATCCCCAGTAGTTACCAGAGTATTTGAGACACAACTTAGTTCATTTAAATATGTATATTGAAAAAACAAATTTTATTACATGCAAACACTGATTGTTGTTGTCATCTCACATCACTATCCTAGTTAAATGCCACAATTATAATCTTTCTTTCCCCATAAACACATTGTGTGTTTAACTCAACTGCCTTAAACCGTGAATTGATTAATTTTTAATCTTGGAAATTTTGCCCTCAGTTTCCACCAGACTTCTACTTTAGCCGCTGACTACACCCAAAATCTGTATTCAGTGCTAAAGACCACATTTTAGAGGATCAAAAACATTTTGCACACTTGCATTAAACAGAACTTTATTTAGCAAAGTACTTACATATTTTCCCTGGTGCAGCATCTCAAATTTATCATTCAGTGTTCAACAGAAAATAAGTATAAGGAAGGTATAAACATTTTACTCGGGAATTACAGTTAATTAGGAGAAAACCTCATCTGGAGACAGAAAGTCAGCTGAAACAAGGAAATATAAATTACTGCCTTCCCTAAATTATCAACATTCTGTACAACAAACAAAAAAAAAAAAAAAGAAAAATTATGTAGCCTTTTATAACAATGTTTAGTTTCAACAAATCCTGGCAACCTGCTGAGGCATATTTTTCTTGGTACAACATTGAACAGTAGCAGTTTGATTTCAGGGCATTTTTTCCCCCTTAGCAAGCAAGCATAGTCAATAGGAGAATGGTTTATTATTTTTGGGAAATAACTTAGTGAATGAGCTTTGTATTCCTACTGCATGAAGCTCTCCCAGCTCCTGCTGGAGAACTGTGCTGCTGAACCCGTATCAGTCATTTCTGAGGATGGGTGTGGGACTAAGGGAAGAATTTCTGGCTTCAGTGCTCTGCAGAGAATGACAAGAAGAGAGACTGCCCACTCTGAACAGTAAAACAGCAATGAGCAGTGGGCATGTAAATAACTAAGTGTGGGAAAACTTACCACCCATGAGTCCTACCCACCACCTAGGAAAACTTTAAAGCACAGGAAACTGGATTTATTCCAACAGTACAATGTCAATGGGTTGGAGAATACTGGGGGAACTCCACACTTGACAGGGAAAATATACAGCTGTTGAATCACACATGGCATGCAGCAAATGTACTGCTGTGTGATAAAGAGAGGTATTTCCACATGCTGTAGGCCAGTGTTCCACAGGAAACCCTTTCATGTGACTCAACAACCTCAGGTGCTGGAAGCAGAGGAAATGTGTCAGATAATGCAGACATACCTGCTAAAGTCACTGCTCTTATCAAGGCTGCATCAGATAAACAATAGAACAACAGAGCAACAGAACAACAGAGAAGGGAAGCAGGGTTGAGGATAGACACCAGTGCTGTGCTGCTTTGCCTCTCTAATAGTTTGCTTTGTCCCTCAGGAAAGTCACTTGCAGAACTGTGTGCATAAATGTGACAGCTAATGCACGATATTCTACTATAGTTCTTACATGATGCTTCAGAGAAAAGGATGCCTCTTCATGAAGAGGAATCATGACCACATCGTGCACTTATGGTACATAATGCTGCTGAGGGTGGGAAAAAAAAATAATTTCAGAACTCTTAGCTGATTTTCTGAAATGCATTAATATATCATTAGCAAAGTAATTGTTAGATCCTTTGTTAAAATGCAGCTGTAGCATGTAACTCTGAGTCATGTGGAAGCAGTGACTTTTTGAGGAACAGTCTTAAAAGTGTGGTGAGGCACTTGTACAGGTTGCCCATGGAGGTGGTGGGTGCCCCATACCTGAAATCTTTCAAGGTCAGGTTGGACTGGGCTTAGAGAAACCTGATCTAGTTGAAGATGTCCCAGCTCATTCCAGTGGGTGTTGGACTAGATGGCCTTTAAATATCTCTTCTATGTCAAACCATTCTATGATTCTATGAAAGCAAACAGAAGAGACAGTTTTACTGTGTCACGAAATAATTCTGTTGAAAATGGTTGCTACAATACCAAGCAAAGGACAATGCTCTGTGTTGAACAGATATTTCTCTTGTTAGGAAACCACATGAGTTCCTTCTACCTTTTTCAGTAGCTTTTTAATTTAAAATAGTTAAATATTTGTACAGAATTTAGTAAAATTCTCTGTAAATCTTTCCAAGAGCAGCAAGCTTCTTAATCTCCCATTTTATTATAAATGTCATGTACCATTTATTCAATACTTATTGACTGAAACATAAAAGCTTTGATGTTTTTCTGTCATCTGCACGTTGTATTAATTAGTGCAATCTATCACTTTCCGTGATTTCAGCAAGGTTGGGTAGATTTTGGGGTGGAACGAGCATCGGCTTTGGAAACGCAGCTGCTGCTTCCCCGCACTGGCACTGAAGTCCAATGCTTCCCTCCAGTGGTGAAACGTCTTCTTACATGGTAAAGGCGCCTTTCATCCTCCGCGTTTGAAGGTCAATCCTTATCGTGAGAAGCGTTAACATTTCTACAGAACATGATATATAATCCTAAATGCTATTTTTTTCCTAAAAGTGCGGGATAAAACGGAGATGCTGCACATTCCAACTTTTACAATAACTGGAGGATTTAATGTATTCATTCTTAATTTTTGATCTGCTTTTTAAAGAGGATTAATTTGGCAAATTTTCTCAGACCTTCTGTTTTAATATCAGTTATAATGCAAAGCCCACTACAAACAGAAGGCATGCAATTATTTTCTTAAAAATAATTAAAAATACTTGGTTTTGTCTGCTACAATTTTTTGCTTAGGTCACTATCTCCTTAGTAAAAATTATTCTGTTTAAAATCCTTGTCTTCCCACTCTTTGATAAAGAATATATTTCAGAATTATCAGATCAGGGTCACAGCTGACTAAAACTGATGACAGTTGATAGTTACAGATTTACAAAATATTATGTAAGCCTGTGTTTTCAGGCTTCTTAAATAACTCTGCCTGGACTGAATCTTTTGGCCTGAAACTGCAGTTCTGTCTCAAGGTCAGTGTTCTGGAAAGCTGAAACATAAGGTATGAATGTCAGTGCTTGAGGCTTCCAATATACTTGACAAGAGGAAGGCATCCTGCAGCTGATTCAGCTCTTGCATGCCTTATGGCAGAGCCTGGCTCTTCCCAGACACTTCAAAGGAATCCTAGTGCGACTACTCTTAAATTAAAAGACTCAATTAAATACCTATTTCATGTGATATAAACCCAGAAACAGCACAGACAGTCTTTTGTTTACACTATTTAAAGGTTTGTTTTATGGCTGCTTGCTGTGGAGAAAATGACAGCTTTGGCAGGGGATTTTAAGGGGAGAAGGAGGACAGTTTCAGGATAACAATCATATAATGGCTGACTTTTAGAATTTTTCTCTTTTTGAGTATTGGCACAGAATTCTAATCTATTGAATCCTGACTAGATAATATTCCTGTAAAATTTACACTAATAGACCAGTAGCCTTCTCAATCCCCTTGGATAAAAGCTATCTGAGGCTCGTGATTAAAATTTTATCCTCAGGCTTTGTCATTTCTATTGTCATATTTACTAAAGGATTGGAATGCCCCGCCTCAGGTGCAGTACTAATACATTATCTACCTTTTGTGCATCTCTATTAAAATTATTAACATCTCTCAAATTACGAGTTCATATTGTTGCTAAGACTTCTTTAATTGCTAGTGCATTTATTTTGGGTTAACTGGGGCAGTTGGGAAAGTGAAGAAGGATTTTTGCAGATGAGAGTTTGGGTATCTCAGGTTTTTTCCCAGTTATATCTGATGGTTATTTCTTTTTAGTCATGGAAGGAAGGAAACACTTGTAGGGATGCTTAATCTGAACTGCTTTACATAGTTGCTTTAGGATGACAGGAATTGTACCCTAAAATGTCCCATTTCTCTCAGTTAACTGTAAAGGCAGTGAAGTGTCACTAGCTCAGATGGAAATAACTATTATTCTGATGTCTAAAGTAAGGAAAGATGCATCCAAGCCTTAAATTCTTAAGCCATCACAGCCACAAAGATCACTATTAGTAAAGATTCTTTATTGACTTATTGCTGGCCACATATTTTCCTTTGCATTTCTAACTTTCCCTATTGATTTCCTGGGCTGCAAACTTCTCATTTATATATTATGTTCAGTAATGTAACAATTCAATGTTGTCATGTTTTCCTGAATGTTACACTGGGGAGCAGTGGGAAGCTGCCTTGAACAGCCATTTCCATTTGCAGTGAACCAGAGTAAGCTTTTGGCTAAAGGATTTTGCTTTCACGATGGAGTACTCTCCTTTTTAGCGTCTCTTCAGTTTCTTTCATAGAACTCCCATTTTCCTTTTGGTTATTTTCCATCTGCTTTTTTTCCAGACTCACAATTTTCATCAACTATGGAAAAATAGCCATTTTGCAGCATCTGCTAACGTTCAGGGGCATCACCTTGCCTGTCTATTTAGAAGCTCACATTGTGGTGGTGCCTTGCTCTTTGCACTGACTGTGGAGGAGATCTGGATGGGAAGAAATCTACTTCTTGGATAGCTAACATGAGGTAAGATGAGACTTCCTAGGGCTCTAAGAAGGGTGGCATGCTGCCTTCTAGCATGTTGCCTCTGTTGCCTGAAGAAAGAGTCCGGGGCAAATAGTTCTAAACTCATGGTAGATGATTAAAATTACATGACATAAATCCCATCTATTATCTCCAGTTATGCCTGGCTGACTCCAGGCCAGGAATTAGTGTAGCTCTATCCATCGTAGTGAGACCATAATTGAGTTACTCTGCACTGAGAGCAATAATACTTTCTGTGTTAAAGGATAGCAAGGAATAATTTTAGAAACTCTAATAAGTTGTGTGACCTCCATGCTACATTTCTGAAATTGAATTCTCCCATGGCAAGACAATTGCTCCCCCACAGTCTGCCTCTCACTGCAGACAAGTCATAAGAAATAATTCAGCTATGGTTTCATGGTCTATAAAGAATTTCCCTCCTTCCCACCCTGCTTTATTCTCTTCTCATATTCTATGTTTTAGCACATTCACAATTAGCCTCTGAATTATCAGGATATACAGACAGGCTAGCAGTGTCTTTGTAGTACTGCCACTGCATCATTCACTACTTCACCTCTTGCCCTAAACAAATTTTAGCTAAAGGTCTTTAGCATTCCAGAATTTCAACTCAGCAGTTGCTAATAATACTTTTATCAGTGAAAATTTCCAGAGTCTTCTTTGCCACCTGGATTTTTAAAATTAGTACTAATGACCAGAAAAACTTTGAGCAGTGGTTGGAAACAAAGTAATAAACTTTGACAAGTATAGCAGAGGAATGTGACTGGCAGATTGACACAGGCTGCAATGAGTAGAAGTGATAGAAATTGGGGAGAGGAAAACAGTAGTGTATAGGCCTGTGTCCATTTTATACTACAGAACCTGTAGTGGAACATGAGGTTCCTAAATCTGAAAAATCCTCAATGATCAGCAGATAAACTTGTCTTGCTCCAGCTGCTGGAGAGCAGTAACAAGTCCATGTTACTGCCAGGGTCTGTTAACTCATGTGACAGCGACCTGTCCAAAAGATCTGAAGGACTGATCCTGTTGTTAACTCCTCAAGTGTCAGAAGAATCTCATAATCTTTCTTTTAACTGGCTCTTTGAACTAATCTATATGTTTGATGCTCAGTTTTCCGTGGAACTTCTTTCTCTTCTTCATGGTGACTCCAGTGCTTCCTCACAGGATGCAGTAGCTGCTTAAATTCTTTAAGGCAGTAAGTGTAGCAGCTGGAGAGGTAGCACCTAGGTCCCATTGCAGCTCAACACTGCAGCTTCTCCTTCACTCTGTGATCTAATGGCTTAAGTGTATTCAGCATCATGGGACCCCACGTTTTGCTGTCTTCTGCACTAGAAAGGAATGTGTTGAAAGTCCCAAGTGAAAGAGAGTTTTCTTATTAATGTTCCACGTTATGCTGCAGGCTCTGTAAGGTATTCTGTTATTCTTCAGTGGTGTATAGCAGTTCTTAAACCTCCAATACCCTCAAGATCTGGTTTTACATTCATTTGAGAATCTGAGTTTTGGTGAGCTACCCATAATAACAGCAGAGTCCTATGGCTGAACTTGGAATCCTACCCAGAGTAAGGCTTCTCACAGAAGCATGTGGAGAGGAAAGTCATCCCAATGCAGTTGATATAATTCCGTGGTCTGCTTCTCAGAGAAGCTGAGTGTAGAAAAGATTTTATTTTCTAGATCGGAAAAAAACCATTTTTCAACAGGTTGTTTGCATTACTGTACACAACACCTACCTGAATTGATGGAAAATGTTGTTTCTATAACCATACCCATTTGAATGAACTTTTCCTTTATAATTATTCAATTATTCATTCTTCCACTCAAGAAAACCAGCATAACAATGATTTAATGCAGCACTGAAGCAATTAACACTCACTAAACAACAGAGAAACACCTCACTACTCAAAAGGGGATCAAAGTGTGAAATCACAAATAACTCATTACAAAAGTAAATCATTACAATAACACCACTTCAGTTCTTAATAGCAATCACAGTCTTTTGGTGGATTTGAATCTTTTCCTTCAGTACCTAAAAAGAAGCTACAGAGAATGCTTATTCCATTTTAAGAAATGTATTAATTAAGAATTTCAAAGCTTTTCTGTTTTTCTGTTGAAGATTAGGATGTAATAGATCAGTTGCTGAATCACTGCAGCTTTTGTGTCCTCTAAGCCCTCTCACTTCAGTAAATTGGAGTCTGGAGTGGAAAAAGGAACCATATGTTGGCAGTTACACCTGTAGGGTGTTTATCTGTCACTTTGAAAACTTAATCTAACTCACTTTGCCTTCATATTGCCCAAGCAGCTGCAGATGGCTTCCTTTCCATTTGAATGGCTTTGAATTCTCTGCTTCTCTCGTAAGTACTTGCTTGCTTACTTTATTTTGTTTTTGTCTTAGCGTTACATTTTATTACTAGATGATGATAGAAGGGATTTTGACTACTTTTTGTGTTATTGGCACCAGAGACTAACCATGCTTACTTAGACCTTTGAGAGTGCTAATTTTCTCATACCAAGGGAGTCTTAAAGTTTTTTTTAGTGTCCTCCCCAAATACTTTAATTTTCTGATACCATTTAGTAGACATTTAGTAGAATTCTATTTGCTTTTAATACTTGCTTGTGGAAAATAATGTACATTGGGAAACAAACAACACAAAAGCTGTCATAAAAGTATAAAAGAGCCGCTGATCAGAGAAACAGCAATGCAACATTGTTTTTAGAAGCAGTGGAACACAAGAAGAGCTGACATATTGTTATGTTAACATTTTTAATTAATGATGTATAGAAGGTCAAGTATAAATGAGAAGATCTGCTAATAGAAAACATCTGCTAGTATACTAAAAATAAATTTAAATATGTGTAATAGAATAGCCGAGAATCCTGAAATTCTGAATAACTGATTGGAAATACATTGGTTGAGTTTCTTTTCTCTCCTGAATGGAAAACGAGGCATACTTCTGAGTGATAACAAAAGGGAAACTTTGGCTATTGAGACCAAATGACCAGTGTGAAATACGTGCCTGCTTTATTTCTTCCTCATTCATTTACGGCAATTGCCTTTGGGGTGTAGCTGGGGACAAGTTTGTTTAACCTGACAGTTACTTTGAATCGATAGCCAAGTGGGAGTACTCCTTCAGTGGGGATTTAGCAGTCGTGAAAGCGAATGGTCTGTTTCACAGCCGTGAAACCTCTTACTTCTGCAGGTGTGCCTAGTAAACTCCAGCTGGGAACGACACTCCTTGGCAGATACACCAGTTCTTTAGTGCTGGGATTCCAAGTAATTCGTTTCCCTCCACAGCCTGCGATTGGTGTTGTGCCAGCTGATCAGATCCCTCACCCACACTGCAAACAGACTTTCTGTAGTGGAATGGGTAGCAAGGCAGATCACCTGCAGTGAAGGATCCACCCTCTCCTCAAGTAAATGTCTTGGTGAAATTAATTGCTCTAAGAAAGCAGAATTGCCCTTCAGTGGTGCCCAGAGGTTGTTTTTTTTGTTTTGTTTTTGTTTTTTTTTGCTGGCGTTGGAGATGCCACAACAAATCCTTTCTTCCTGTGTTTGAGACAGAGGTGGTTACATTCAGAAAAGTCAAGGCAAACAGTTGCTTTTGAATTTCAAATTACCTTTTTTGTTGAGGTACTCCACAGATGGTTCTGCTGGCATTTCGCATGACAATCTCCTATATTTAGAAATATACAGCTCCACCAAAAATGAAAGAATAGAACTTGGCCCTCTAGAGGGTGATGTTTTCCGTGTGAGGTAATTAAGAAGATCCACGTGGACAGTAAAATTCCTTTTTAGGCACCTGTGGCAGTATACTCCTTCCGCTCAATAAACATTTTGCTTGTTTTACTGCATGTTAAATGGCTGATGTATAATGAGTCATTTTCTTTCATTTTAATGAAAAACAAAAAAAATCTTAAAAAACACAGAGAACTTAGCAACTTTGCTCAAAAGTGAAATGCAGACAGGCTCTCTGATATTGTACTCCCCTAAAACAGTATAATCATGATCATTTACTGTCCTAGAGCCTGCAAAATATGGCAGAGACGTTACAGAAGACAAAGTCACAACTGTTACTGCAAAATTACTAAGATTTGTAGTCAGTAATCTCAGGAGAGGAAGAAAATGTGAAAGTTGAAGTCTTACATAGTATAAAGACTGTAATCTGGTGCTATTTTTTAAACTGGAACAGTTTGATGTAACAGCTCTCAAACTTTTCCACTGTTTCCAACATGCTCCTGAATTCTCTTCCAGTTTCAGCTGCAGTCTTTTATTCCTGCTCCTGGCTGTGAATCCTGCTTTTGCAATGAAACTTCTGTTGCACTCACAGCCTTCACTGAGCTTTAATCCCGTGTTTATGAGCCACTGTAATTTTCACCCAGCATATTATTTTGCACCTTCTACTTTCCTTCATTTGTAGCTTTCACCAGGATTTTTAAGTAAAAAAATATTTTTTTTTGGGGTAAAAATATTGTAAAATCATTGTCCCTTGACACTTCAAGAAATAAAAATCACGTTTTGTGGTCTGCAAGCTGTCTGCCAAGTCCAACCTGCCTCACAGCATTCTGCTATAAATTTGGTCAGCGCAGTAGAGGAAAAGGGATTGCCTGCACTGAAGTGATTGCTGTTTCCACTTCCTTTGTTATTGTTCCCATATCTGTAGCTCTTTGACATGGCAAGTCTGAGAGAGAAGTGCGAAGTGACTGTCAGCTGATGGCCCAGAATCAAAACAGACCAATTAGCAATGTCCCCATCTGCTGCCTAGGCTCATGCTTGTTCCCAGCCTGTTCTGGGAGCCAGGAATTGAGCTGGAAGCTGTGGCCTTTATGCACAGCAGCAAGGGGCCAATTTCTTCAATGCTACATGTTGTCCAAATAAATTCTTACAGGAGCTGGAGAATGGGAATATTTTACCAGCACCTTTCTTACAGGAACTAGGTCTTTCCTCTTAAGAGGTTACCACAGACTTATTGGGAGCCATTTATGAC